AACCCATTTAAAAGGTCATTGAAGATTTCCACAAAACAGTATCAATCTTATGTCAGGTTATATACATTTCTTTTCATATATATATATATGTGGATATATATCTATCCACACACACGTGTGTGTGTGTGCGTGTGTGTGCAAAAGACAAGGAAGAACTAATATAAAGTCAATGGAAAATGGAAATCCACTTTTTAAAGTTTCTAATACTAGGAGAAAATATACCATGTCTTGTAAGTAGATTGTAAATCGAAGAAGCAGTATAAATCATAACACAGAAATGAAAACCAAACTACTCAGAAAATTGATTAAATATTAATTAACTCAAATTAAAATTAAACATTTCAAAACAATATTCAAAAATTAATTTAAATTGTGAGTCCAACTAAGAGGCCAGAATGTAGTGGATCATATGTATGAATCTGTGATCAATTCAGAGCATTCATACAGTATTTGATTAGATTATTATATGCAAAAATATCAAGGAAGAAAAAGTTTTCATAATAGTAAAGAATTACTAAGAATACAATGTAACAAAAATAGTGGAATGGCAAATATATGACCAGTACTTCTAACAGTTTGGTGATAGGCTATTGCACAATGTTCTAGTATGTGGCAGAAATGGACAGTGCCCATGTCGCTTACTGGTGGTCAGGTGTCACTTGTGGAAACAAGCTACTGATATTTCCTTGATATCCACCCTGTGGACAGAATCAGACAGATTCTGTCTGACGCAGACAGAATCATGACCTATAGGGTGCAGGGGAAATCCTTTTGTAGAGTATGCTGTTGGAAATATTTTGCTGATGTATACAAAAGAATAATTGAAAGACTGCTTTTGCACACCTCTTATTCGCCTGTGTTTAATTGTTTGCCCTATTTGGTGGGTTCTTTCTGTTCTCTACCATGAAGTTGTGGTCATTTTGATCCCTATCTTTTAGCTATCATGAAATTCTTTAGTTGTTCTTTGTCATGGAAGTATTTCACTTCTCCATTAAACTTGAAAGAGAGTTTTTCAGGGTTATCAGTCTGGGTTGGAATTTGTTTTCTTGCAAGATTTGATACACTTTGCTCAGTGCTCTTCTTGACTTCATGGTTTGTGAAGAGAAATCTGCCATTATTCTGATGGGTTTTCCTTTAAATGTGATTTATTGCTTTTCTCTAGCGGCTTTTAGTATACTGTTTCCTGTGTTGAATTTCTGGGATCTTGATTGGATGTGTTTTTAATTGGGTTAATGTTTTTTTGGAATTCTGTATGCTTCTGTTATCTGAATATCGGTTGTTTCTCCATGTTTGGGAAGTTTTCTGCTATTACTTCTGCCCATATTCTTTTTATATCATTTGTATTGACTCCTTCTTTTTCACTGATGCCTTCTAATCTTATGTTGTTCATCTTTGCATCATCTTGCAGGTGTTGAATTATTTTTTCCTGAATCCTAGTTGTCTTTAAAAGATCTTTTTTTACATTTCTTCATAGCTGCAATAGTGTCTTCAAGGTCTGAAAGTCTATTTTCATTCTCATTTGGATGGTTTTGCAAGCATGTGATTGAGGTTCTAATTTCCTGTATATCACTTTGAATCTGCTTCATGCATTCTATTTCTTTCTTACATTGCTCATTCAAGGATTCCATCATTTTTATATCCTACTCTATTTTTCATAAGTATCTTCTTTTTTATTTAAAAGTATTTTTATTTCAGTCATAGAAATAAATCCAGAATTGTACAGATTTGTAGTTTTTTAGTTATTATGAGAAAATATCTTCTTTTAAAGAGTAACTATTAATAACTAGTGTTTCAGCCCTGTTTTTCACAATATTTCAGTTTTTTACATTACTAATATTTACATTAGTAACAAGGTACATAATTTTACATTACTAACATGGTACTTAATAGAAGTGCAAAGTGGTTAGTTTTTTATAGTACACAAATATTAGTACTTCTTTCATTATAGTTATCATTTCTTTTTTTACTTCAGAAATTACAGCTGATCTGATTTCCTTTATACCTTTCAGCAGTTGTTTCTTTACTTCAGATACTATTATTTCAGAGATTTCAGGTGTTTTATTTCCAATTTCTTCTATGCTATTGTTTCCTGCATCTGTTCTGGGTGGGCTCAGGGCCTGAGAATGCCTTTTGCTCCTTCTCTTCATCATTTTGTATAACACAGTCTTCTGACCTTTGATGTAGAGCTTTGGTATAGTTATTACATTAGCACCAGTTCTGGATCTACCTTGTTCAAACTTGTCCAGTTGGGTGTGGCTTGGGCCTGGCTGCTGTGCTCCACTTCTTCCTGCTCCAGCCCTTGGAACTGAACCCACTTTGCCACTTTGGCAAGCTGTTCTGCTCCTGGATCAGCTAGGTGGGTCTTGCCTCTAGCCTCTTTGCAGGGAGTTCTGCTGCAGGGTTCCACATCAGGCCTGTATAATGGAGGAAGTTTCACTCACATGCCAGGCCTGGGTGCTGGCTGAGGCGGCAGTCCAGTGGGCCCCAGGCTGTCCCACTCACACACCAGGCCTGGAAGCTGGCTGGAGTCACCAGTGTTCATTTGTTTTTTCTTTGGTGAAACTGGGGATTGAACTCATGCCCTTGCACTCACTGGGGAAGTGCTTATTCTACTGAGCCATCTTCCCGGCCCCAACAGTGTTCATTGTATGATTCAGGGTTTCTCAGAGTCCTTCCCAAGCAGCCTGCAGCCATTAAAATCACAGAAGCAGCTTTTTTTCTTTGAAAGAAACCACTAAAGTGTACTTTATCAATTACCAGTTTTTTATACCTAATGAACTGCCAGTTATTAACCAATAAGTATCATACGCTGGGTGATCATCAATTTAAAATGAAGACAATAAATAAGATTGTGAAGGAGGAAAGATAGAAAGCATTTTATTAGAGTATGTATTAGGTACTTATTGAGTTCTCGTGTTCTAGGCCTAGGCTAGATGATAGGGATTTTGGAAGGGATAATTGCAGCACTTTTCCCTGGAAAATCTCAGTCTGTAGAAGAAACAGGCTGACCCTGAAGACTTTCAGGTGCCTAGAGAAGCAGGTCACACACTTGAGAAATGGGCAGCAAAACTCTGCAGTGAAGCTCTACTAAACAAAGCCCACTTGTAGCAAAATGTGATAAGACAGAAATTTTCATCCTACTGGTGGAAGTATTAACAATGTAAGCAAGTTATAAACAGAATGATTCCACTACTTGGTTAGTATAGATAGTTTTCTGCTCTCACAATATTATTGCCACCTTTAATTTTTTTCTAACAAATGAATTGTATCATGTTCATTAAGAACAACTGACTCATACTGATAGTAGCCACCATTTCCAGGGACACTTATATTTTGAAAGCTAAATCCTTTAGAGTAGAGAAAGAATTGTGACAGATGACAAAGAGACATGGTAGATTTTAGAACACTATGGCAAGTAATTTTAGAATGTATTTGTATTTTTATATTACCAACTACCCCGAATTATCTAGACAGGGAAAAATAGTCAATAGCTTATACTTTAAATTCCTCATGCACATCTGTTAATTTGGATTTGGTTGCTGCCCAGAGAAGCCTTTTTATACGTAAGGTCTAGCTTCTAAGACAGTCCACAAAACTCTAAGTAACACATAAGCACATGATCAATTATATGAATAGCAGCACTTTGCAAAATGTGTCAGATATTACATTCACAGGGATCCATGAGTTTTGTAAGAGTTTTTAGATCATGTTTTTATTTTGATGACAGTCTAAAAGTTAATGTAATCATCTTTACAATCATCTAAACAAATACGATGCTATGTGACTATTCAAATCTTTATAGTATCTGTGTAATGTGTTATTCTCTTGTCATCATTTGGTGTACCAGTATTAGAGGTTTACTACATGCATTTGTTAAAAACCAACTTTCACTGAAGTAGCTTACTTTAAAGTTAAAATGACAAATCTTTCATATCCATTATCATACTTAATGTTGACTTTATTTACCTGTAATGAGACACAATTTTTAACTCCCATTTAAAAGATATACATCACTATAATTTTAGTTCTTAAAATTAAATTTAGATTTTGAAAACTAGATGACACAGCACAGTGGAATAATGTTTCAGATTAATAATAAAATAATGAGGGCAGAGAAACTATGTAAAATCACACTCATTTTGAGAGACAGGAAAAATTAAGTTGCATAGCTATGTAAATGAATTTTGCAATACTCAAGTAGAGAAAAACAGTGAGGAATTTCATCATCATACAGGTCATAGTAAGCAACTTACTTAACTAACATGATCAGGATTACTTTGGGAACTTTCTAATTGATGATTTAAAACATATCAGCATTATACTTTATGTTGTCCTAGTAAATTGTTTTATCAAAATAACATATCAGTATTTTATTTTTGTTCTACATATGTTTTTAATTTAGAGTTTTTGAGGAAAAGAAGACAGACTTAGAGCTTCTTGAAATGTTTTGGCTGAGAAGCGTGGCAGCCACGGTCCTGCCTTCCCCTGTGGGCTCAAGAGAGCTGAGCAGTGACTACAATGCAAAGCCTGCTTCTCTCATGTACGCTCTCTGCTTACATTTTAGAAACTTTAGATTTTGTATTTCCTGACCTGAAGCAACGCTTATTTTCCCCAAGATGTAGTAATACAGGCTCTGCTGAAGGGAGGCTGTCTCTTCATATGTGGTTTTTGCATATTTATGCGTGGCAGTTCTAGTGAGTGTGACTTCTCTCTGGGACACCATCACATTCTATTTACTCTCTCATCATAGTTTAGAAGAGGGTTTGAGTAGAAATTAACCTTTAGGAGTTAGCTTCTGTGATCAGCCCACTGCATTTGCAGGCTGGAGTCTCCCCTAGTTAGAAGAGATCTTTGTGTCCTTTTCTTTCCCCAGCCTCCTCCGGTCACCAGCATAATGCCTGCCTCTCATCTTGTGTTTCTCCATGATTACTTGTTATTCATTTTACCTCATTAATATTTAAAGAGCATTGCAGTTATTCATTGAAAAGGGCAACACTTACCACCAACCATGCAAAGGTGAACTCAGACAAAATTTCTGAGGAGATATTTTGAAAGCATGGTATTTCCAAAGTCTGATTTATCTGTATTTCTATTGTATGGTTGTTTCTCCATTCATTCTGTGTAACTACAATAAAACATAAGGGGGAAAATACATGGATCTTTGAGAGCGCATTTTATGGAAGATACAAAATGAGTTTTAGTATGAAAAGTCATCTGTCCTCAGGGGATAGGTGTGAAGTAAAGAGGCAGAACACCACTACCATACTCATTAAATAAATGGTAATACCAAGGCACAAGAAGCACAAAGATCCTATGTACATATCCCCATTGCATCTGCCATATACAAACTCCCCTACAGTTAAGCATGTGTACCAGAGCAGTGCATTTGCTAGAATAAGTGGTCTTATGTTTAAACATTATCACCTGAAGTCTATAGTTTACATTAGGGTTCACTCTTACACTGTACAACCTTTGTATTTGGACAAATGTATATGCCAGGTATCCACCATTATGACATTATATAGAATTGTTCGATTGCCCTTAAAATTCTCTGAGCTGGGTCTATCGAATTTTCTTAATTCCTGATAACCACTGATGTTTATACTGACTTCATGTCTAACTGCCTTCTTAGAGCTTATAAAATTTCATCAATAAAGGAATAATACAGAAAAATATATAAGAAAGTGTGAGGAAGTATGATGAGTTATTTTTACTTTAAATTTATTATGAGAGGGCTGGCCAAAAAGCTCAGTGAATTAAAGCACCTGCAAGCAGGCACAGGGGCTGGGAGTTCGATCCCCGGGCCTCTGTGCTGGTCCCAACCCCTGAGGTGCCCTGAGGCAGCAATTGAGACTGGGCTTGGTGGCACGCACCTGTAATCCTAGCTCTTGGGAGGCTGTAAACAGGTGAATCACTATGAGTCTGATCTAGTAGTGAAACCCTGAACACCCTGTACAACCTTCCCTAAAATACAAAAAGAAAAAATTATTATGAGATAAACATCTTCCTCCTTTTTGAGTTTGCATAGATAAATATGAACTTTGGTATTCAAATTGTAGTACCAAGGAAAAATTTACAAATTAAAAAGAACTCATTCCAGTAACAAAAAATCTTATTTTAATATCTAATACCCTCCTCTCTTTCTCTCTCTCTCTCTCTCTCTCTCTCTCTCTCTCTCTCTCTCTCTCTCTCT